CCTAAGCCCTTTCTCATGAATTTTCATGCTCCTTTGTTCTTTTGGTATTTGTTCAGAAGCAGGAGTCATTCCCAAGAATAGCAGCATTACAAAGGGAACTGGTGAAGAAATAGCCACACGAGAAAAGACAGGAGACAAGGCCCTGGTCACAACCCAGCATCAAAGAAATCCTTGCGGTGGAATACAACCACCCAATCAAGGAACTCAAAGCCRTACAGGGCTTTTCCTATCATCCCTACAATTTCGCCTACTCTCAGTTTAAGTCATTAAAGCTGAGGAAAGTCAACCTTCAGCCTGGCAGGTCCTGGTACTATAAGCCCTCCCCGATAAGCAAATAGGAATTTCTGAGCACCATTCCCATCCACCTGCTTTCCCAGGCCTCAACTAGGGCCTCCAACTCTCCCTCCCTCAAGCTTAGCTCTTGTGCCTGTACACAACCCATGATTTCCTTAAACATCTTGAACACACTTGTAACATGCTGGCAGAAGAAAGAGAATCCCTTACTTGCCAACCTTCTTCCTTTCTCATATTTTTACACTACTCCTATGCCTGCAGCACAAAGAACCTCAGCAGAGCTATGGCTGGGATTGCAGGGCTGTGTGTTCTGTCCCAGAAGCCTGAGCTCCCTCTCCTGCAGCTGCTCTTCATATTCCTCTCACCTGGCACATCTTTTCTACCCTGTGGACTGCAGTTRTGCTCCCCAGAGTGTCTCTTTTCCCACAAAAAGGAGAAACCAACTCTCAAAGCAGAAAGCACATTTGACATTTCAAACATCACTGCTTGCACAATGCAGGAGGAGCATCACTGTTTCAAAACCCGCAGAATGATGAAACTTTCTCTCCTCCCATCACTCAGCACCACACCCCATTCGGGTTAATTTTCAGGGCAAGCACCAAGGACGTCCAAGTCGAGCCTGCTGGTGCTGTAGGGTGAGTTGAGAGTGGTTGTAAGGCAGGCTTGATGGCCCCCTCTGCTTGCAGGCACGACCTCTGATGGGCTCCTCTCCATCCTGATCTCCATCTCAGAATGGAGAAAGACACAACTCCAGCAGCTCCTGGGAAGAAAGCAGCAGAAAGGACAATGTAGGCCCTCAGACACCGCCACATGCAAGTGAGGAGCACAGCACACAACCCAAAATGAAAATRTCACTTGACTCCTAGCAAGGAGCAGCCGGCCTTTCAGCCCTGAGGCTTCAGATCCACCACTGGAGACAAATATCAGCTCCATGAGAGCTCTCTGAGATTACTTCACTGATGTCCCCAGGCTCAAAAGCAGGATTTGGAGTCTGCTAGGAAAGTCCCTGTCCCCACATGTCCCCACACACAACATGTCACCTATTAGCCTGATGAAGGGGCAGTAAAGATGAGTTTACAGTTCCATTTTTTAGATGGGCATGGGAAAGGTGATCACAGCCCAGGAGATATTCCCTGTGTCCCGACCTTGCTGGTTGTCCCAAGCTGGCATTCCAGTGCCTCTTTCTGTGGTACAGCAATTACCCTGCTTATCTTCTATTCTGCAGAATTATGGTCATTTGAAACAGTTGAACTCTGCTCTATTTTTTAAATTTTTATTTTTAAGTCTGTGTTAAAATTGGCTTTTGGAAGCATCCTGAGGAAAGCAGAAGGTGTCACAATGAGGAGAACACAATGCTTTTCCACCATTTCGTTTTTGCTCTGGAGAGTAAACCAGGCCTGCTGTTGGACTGTTTGTGGAAGAAGACAAACCTGGAAAGAAAGAAGTGACTATTTCTGCAATGAACTCTGGTTTCTTCAAGAAGACACCAAAGTCCAGTATTCCATGAAACCTAGCCAGTTGTCCAGAGGCACAGAGAAAAAGGCAGAGAAAAAGGTYCTATTAAAAGAAAGAATGACAGACTGGTAGGAGTTTGGCACTGGCCCAAAATGAACACATTCTTAGGTCCCTAAAAGATCCTATGGAAACTCGGGGGGGGGGAGGGGGTGCAAAGAGAAGATGAACAAGGGAGGTGAAAAATGAGAATTCCAGATGTGCATCCGCAGTTTTGGGGACAGCTGTAGGATCTAGAACAGGGACACTGCTGTGTTTAAATGCACCACACATTTTTAGTGCTCATCTTTGTTTCCAACACCTGGCCTGAAGGCCTCATGTAGTTCTGAGGAAATATCCCACAGGGTCTAAAACAGTTTGTGGCTCCAGYGCTGCAGTGTCCCTTCACAGCCCCCTCGAATAGGAGCCCTCAACCCTGGGTTCATCTAGAAAGGTACATTTTTTTAGTCACAAAGAATTACCCTTTTTTTCCAGATGAATATGAAGGAAAATTCTGAGKCTAAGAGAGTGCTAACCACAGTGTCCAACACAAGGCAGGGGCAGATCAGCAAGCTGCTCCAACATGGTACTTTCCAGAAGGCATATCCTGGCCATTGATYCACTGAAGCCTAAATGTTCCTTAATAAAAGACACAACAAAACCCCCAGAATGGTGCAACATAGTGAATCTTTAATTCTTTGTAGTGTTCAGCCCAGAAGGCCGTTCCTGCAAAGGGGGAAAATCGTGCTCACCTCCCCACACCACAGTCTGAGCCAGGGCGATGCCTCCCTGCAGTATCTTGGAGATGGAGGTATTCTCAGATGGAGAACGCTCTCCTCACCCACTCATGGACATCCCACAGGACTCACACACGGAGATTCTCTTGGGATCAATGTGCGCATTTGAGTTTGAAGGCTGATGCTCTCCCCAGCCTTGGTTTGCAGGCTCATCGTCTGCTGGTTGTCTGCAAGGAGCCCTCAACATTTTCCTYTGACATCTGTCAGATGTTACTGCATTGCACATCTTGGCTTAATTTTCTAGGAAGCTGAGAATTCAGGAAACTGGAAACAATTATGAAAATTAAACATCTCAGTGCCGCAGGCAATTTTTTGCCGATGTGGAGTTGTTCTCCCATTTTCCCTCTCTGTGTCTTTCTGCTCTTCTGCCCTTCAGGCTGGAGCAGAAGCCATTCCTCACAGACTGCAAAAAAAAAGCAGGAGGGGTTTTCCCTCCAAATCTTAGGAGCGAAAAACCCCGCTTTGCTTTTGAGCACTGCACCAACCTGGGTAAATTCAGAGCTGTTCTAGAGAAAACAAAACGAAGCAGAGACACAGAAAAGGTCAGGAGGCACTGCAGGCAGTGYTGGAACATCGGCGCCTTCTTTTTCCACTTCCTTTTCTGTTACTATTYCCTCTGCTAGGTGCTTCTCAAACTCCCCATTTGCAGCAGGACGCAGAGACGTAGGAATGGGCATGGCATGATGAACCACTGAGACCACCGGGGCTGATGTTCTTATGCAGCCCTGTGCTCTCAGCTCCCTGAATTCCAACAGTGCCCCGCTCCAGCCCCCGGCTCTGTCTTGCCCCCAAATTCCCCAGGGACTCTGCTCTGACCCAGCACTACCTTTGTGATTGCCCTGAAATTCCCCAGGGCTGCAGCTCAAAAACTACCACCACTTTCTCCCATAGGCACCAAAGGGGGAATTTTTATTTTCCCTCTGTGTAAGAGGTGCTGGTACCTTCTGGGGTGAAYGGGGAGACCTGGTGTGCAGGTGACTGTCAGTTGGTAAAAAGGTTCAGCTCCCACAAAGTGCAATCCCAGCCATGCTCAGTCCTGTTTCTTCCTCCTGTGTCATGCTCCCATCCCTTCCTCATCCACTGACTGGACTATCAAAAATAAAAGTAAAGGATAAAGCAAGGCAGTGGAATCACCAAGACCTTCAGGACACTACACAAAGCAGAGTGCTGGACATAACAAAGATCAGCCCTGTTTTGGGAGAGGTTGGGGTCACCAGGGAGCTGATCTGGGCCATGCAGGTTTAATGATTTAGGGATCAAAGTGATGGTGCTGGGTGGACTTGTTGATCTTGAAGGGCTCTTCCAACCCTGATGATTCAGTTGGAAGTGATACAACTTTTAAATTTTTTTTATGTAACTTTAGACAGGGGTTTGTTCCCCTTTGCCCAGGGAGAGGGGAATTGAAGTTTMTTTTCAAAAGACTGTTCACTGAGGTTGAGTGAGGCCTGATGAGCTTAATATCTACAGATTGGGAGTAGCCAGAAAACACCTGGAGGAGGAGATAAACGAACATTAATGAAAATTACACCCTGGTGTGGTCAGAGACACTTGGTCTGGGAAAAGAACCAAAGAATAGGCACCTAATTAGCATTAAAGGTGAAGCAATCAATAACCAACAGATGATCGAATACCAAGAATTGTGTAATTTAAGACCAATGAACATGAATTTCTTTGGGGTTTTTTTTGTGTTTTTTTTTGTTTTTTTGTTTTTTTTTTTAACGTATAAATAGGTGAAAAGTCTACTGAAGAACCATGTGTGACAGATGATTTTCACTGCACAACCCGGGCATGTGTGCATGAAATAATTTCTGTTTGCACATCCTGGCCAGAATAAAGTAATGCCGTGATTCTCTAATATCGAAAAGATGCTGTCAGAGAATTTCTGTTTTTCTCGCAGTTTCAGTGGTAATTCTATGGTTGTGTAAGAGGGCAGGCAGACGGGTACAGGTTCCTGGTAAACGCTGGAGGCTCTGCTCAGGCTGCAGTAAGGAGGGGAAACATGAACCAAAACTGAGCAAAGCCCATGGTCTATCCCCAGTGCAGACACTGAGTGGGACCCTGCTCAGCCAGGAGGAGGGAGGGGCTGCTCATACCAGGGAAATACTGAGCGCCTTTTTTTTGTTAATTTCCACGCGTCGCCTTCACTTCCCGTGTGCC